AGAATCTGCCCTTTAGGCCTTTAGGTTTCGCCGAAAGCAAGAATTGAAAGTGACGTGATTTCAGGTTAATCCACTTGTCATGCGCCGAGAGCCCAGATCCAATCGGATAGATGTTCGCGGACGACATTTGCAGATTGTTGATGCAAACGGTCGAAATTTGAGGTATGGGCGAGCACCTCAAAGGGAAGTTGCAGGGCATGATACGCCAGCGCTTCGAAAACTACTTGCATATCTCAAAGCGCAGACCTGAGCTGTTGACTGTCGAGCTTTCTACATTGTTGCAACAGCAATCAACAACCTCCAGTTCCGCATTGGGCCTTCGCCATATCTCGCAATTCCCCGCCCCCTTTCAGGTTTTTAAGTTAGGGGCGGTTTTTTTTTTTGTGTGCGGGTACAGGGCCTTTGGGTGGCTAGGGGTGGACCTTTTTTTTTGGCCGTCCAAGAGTGCCAAAACAAACTTGTCTAAAAACACCACGAACTGCGCTGGTTGGATGTCATGATATGGTGTTGAGCCCCAGAAAATTGACAGAAATGTACGGGGCATTGCTTGGCGGCTAAGGACGTTGCAGAACGACATCGGCAAACTAGCAGCAGCTCGGAATACCCAATGGCGCAGCAAACAGGATGTCTCGTGTTGTGGCTGAAGCCAAGGTACTCACCTGTGAGCTGTACGGGTCTCAGCTCATCTCAGCCTTCGATCACAGTGGCAACCCGAGCTAGTTAAGTTCGCGGTGCTTGACTCGACAGTGCTAGACAGAGGCTCCAGGCAAGCAGCTTCCGTTGATAAGTGCTCATGCCCTTGGCGGGCATGTGTCTAGTCTAGTCTCGTGAAGCCGGGACAGTCGTTGAAATTCAGAGCGGGGATTAAAATCCCAGCCCATCCGTGCACCACGCATGTTTTTTCCTCCAAGGGGTCTCCCAGGAGTCCGAGTTTTGTTTTCACGCCTGTGGGGTGATGAAGGGGATCCGAAGCAGGTCGATGTCAGGATACCCACCCCCCACCCTCCACAGGAAATGTCCTGCCTCACCGAAAACCGGGGCGTGCGGACTGCATGTAGCCAAATACAAGCGGTGCTCCAGAAGGTCAGGAACGCGAACTTGGTGTTGGGGACGAAGCCAGATGGCGCGGGGCAACAACCGTCCCACTTCCCCTACAACAACGCACTGAGATAGTTAGTGGGGTGAGCACGTGAGGCCGCGTTCCTTCTCACAAACTGCCCAAACCCGAGGAGCCCTGAACACCGGGGCGGGCGAGGACGCCCGGGACCTTGCCCCCTTGCCCCCAAGAGAGAGAGAGAGCGAGGGAGACAGGGAGAGAGGGAGAGAGGGAGAGAGGGAGAGAGGGAGAGAGGGAGAGAGGGAGAGAGGGAGAGAGAGAGAGAGGGCGAGGGAGAGAGGGAGAGAGAGAGAGGGAGGAGAGGGGAGAGAGAGGAGGGAGAGAGGGAGAGAGGGAGAGAGGGAGAGAGGGAGAGAGGGAGCGGAGAGGGAGAAGGAGAGGGAGAGGAGAGGGAGAGGAGAGGGAGAGGAGGAGAGAGGAGAGGAGAGGGAAAGAGAAGAGAGAGGAGGGAGAGGAGAGGAGAGGAGGGAGAGGAGAGAGGGAGAGGAGAGGGAGAGAGAGGGAGAGGCAGAGGAGAGGAGAGGAGAGGGGAGGAGAGGGACGAGGGAGGGAGGGGGAGGAGGAGAGAGAGGGAGCGGGGAGGAGAGGGAGAGGAGAGGGAGAGGAGAGGGAGAGGAGGGGGAAGGAGGAGAGGGAGAGGAGAGGGAAGAGGAGGAGGGAGGAGGAGAGGGAGAGGAGAGGGAGGGAGAGGAGGAGAGGGAGAGGAGAGGAAGCGGAGGAGGGGGAGAGGAGAGGGAGAGGAGAGGGGGAGAGGAGGAGGGGAGGAGAGGGCGAGGGAGAGGCGGGAGAGGGAGGGAGCGGAGAGGGAGGAGGAGAGGGAGAGGAGGAGCGGAGCGAGGAGAGGAGAGGGAGAGGGAGAGGAGAGAGAGGAGAGGGAGAGGAGAGGGAGAGGAGAGGGGAAGAGAGAGGAGGGGAGGAGGAGAGGGAGAGGAGAGGGAGAGGAGAGGGAGAGGAGAGGAGGGAGAGGAGAGGAGAGGGAGAGGAGAGGGAGGAGAGGGAGAGGAGAGGGAGAGGAGAGGGAAGAGGAGAGGGGAGGAGAGGGAGAGAGAGGGAGAGGAGGAGGGAGAGGAGAGGGAGAGGAGAGGGAGAGAGAGAGGGGAGAGGAGAGGAGAGGAGCGAGAGCGAGGAGGGAGGGGAGGGAGAGGAGAGGGAGAGGAGAGGGAGAGGAGAGGGAGAGGAGAGGGAGAGGAGAGGGAGAGGAGAGGGAGAGAAGAGGGAGAGAAGAGGGAGAGAGCGGGGAACGTTATGCGCAGGTGTTTTAGGCCCCCAAGCCCCAACGAAAGAAAGAGACCTCACAGACCAAAACTAAGAAAGAAGGGAGGCCCAATTTGTCGGACACGTGGTTAACGCCCCACCCTCGCGCCCAACGAGCCGAAACTTAGAGAGCGAGCCGTGAAGACCCTTGCTTGCTACTCAGACAAACCCTCGGACTGGTGCGCCCTTCGGGGCAGCTCTCCGCTCGGGGGGGGGGGAGCGTGTGGATAGAGAGAGAGAGAGAGAGAGAGAAAGAAACAGAGCTTGGGCTCCGAAAGCCTATTTGTCTTTTGCAATATTCCGGTTCACGGCGCAGGTGCTGGGGATGGGTCCGCTCGTTTGTTTCATGCTCAGCAGAAGCGGTGACGTTGTTGCCCGCCCCAGTGTCTGCCGACTTTTGAGATCTTCCTTTTGGAGGGGAGAGGAAGAGGAAGTGGAAGAGGATGGCTTCCAATTGACGAGTCTTTACACATTTTACACCTAGTCCAAAACGGTTAGACTTATTGCGTGGCTTCCTTTGGCACTTCCAAAAAGCAGGGTGTCTTCGTGACTTGTGTGCACCGTGTTAAGCAGTGCATGGCTGGCTCAAAGGGGAGGGTCTTCTTTTTCCTAGCAGATGCATCGAGGAGCGGTCGTACTTTTTGCCCAGGTGTTGTTGGCTGACGCTAATCAGCAACCAATCAGCCCATGCGGTGGTGGGCAGTTTGTTGCAGCGCAGCAGTCGAAGCGCCCATAAACGCGCCTCATCGGCCATGACAGCTTGCAGTCGTGAAGCACTAAATCAACACAGGGTCTTTGGGCTCTCCACAGGCGACTCAGCCAGCCGCGGTTGCTTTTAGGGCTTAGTTATCTTGGAGAACAGAAGAGAAGCAACTAGGCTGGTCGTGTTGCCCTGCTTGCACTTGTTGCAAGAAGCCTGAGGCGAACAACCGTTCGTGGTGCACCTGCAGCTGCAGCTGCTTCCAGTCGGGTGGACAGCACGATGTCTGCTGTGCATGGCTGTCTCATGTTGCACTGTCAACGCCCAGGTGCGAGCTTGGACAAAGTCCGGGTTTCAATTTCATGCAATGAGGCCCGTGCCCATAAACGTGCCGTTGCAAGCGCTGTTAGGCACCTGTGACCGCGACCCCGTGGTGCCCGAAAGAGCAGCTATCTAGAAAATGGCCTTGTGCAGCACACTTGTGTCTGTAGCTCGTAGTGAGTCTATCTGTCTCCTGTCTCTCCCCAATGGCCGAAACGCCCTCGACAGCGACGCTTTTACCCTTGTCCATGTTTCTTTCATACATCTCATGGCAAGAGCGGGGGTCTACGAGTTGAGTGGAGGTTGGGGGGGTTGCTACTGCCACTGGAAGCTACCCTGAAGTCTCTCCGAGCCTAACCTCTCCATGTCCGTAATACAATACAAATACTGTCTCTCCTTTTTTCTATATTGTTCTATATTGCTGATACCAATACGAGTACACGTATTGGCATTAGCAAATGGCGCAGCACATACACCCCGTTGGGGGTGAGTTTTAGAGGCACTGCCATAGCGGGATAGTGGGTCCCCCTCCACCTGATTCCGACCGGCCAGCAAGAGTCAGGAATAGACTTAATTGTTAGGAGTGTCGAGGAGGTCGAATTATGCAATTGTGGATGAAGCCTCGTACTCAGTGTTGACCATTCCCGACGCAGGAATCTTCCAGCCAGCGTGCGCAGCATAGCCCTATGAATCCAAAACCCTGAAACCATAACCCTCAAACTAAACCCTAAACTCTAAACTTTAAACGGGCAAACTCAAACGATGCTGGTCTTAAAAATCCGATGGCGGTACCAGGAATGCGCAGCCCTCAGGATTTTCAAGCCAGCATCGTTTGAATCTCGGTTGAGAACTTCGGGTTGAGGGTTTGGGTGACATGTGGCGGAGGGTTGAGACTGGTGGAGTTTTGGAGGAGCACGTGCTTTTGAGGGGTTTGGGTAGATGCCAGGCGCACTGTATGCAAAAAAGAGATGCAAGATGTGTTCATTGTGAGTGTCGTCAACCCCCCCCTCCGAAAATCGTAAACACGCAAAATCGAAGTTTCGCTCTAACCGTCCTACCGTGTTCGTCTAGTTTCTCGGTGAAGTGCAAGTACACCTCGGTTTGAGACTCAATTAAGTTGGGAAATGTTGGAACGTTTGAATGTTGCAGGGGAAGTTTTTGCCCACGTCTTCATTGCAAGAGCCTCGCCAGTCTCTTTCCTTCCCGTCCAGTCGTCTCCGTTTTCTTCCCTCCTTTTCTGAGTTTGTCCTCCCTACGTGCAAGCGTAGCGTTGCCCACCAACATGCCATGCAGCAGCAACAACAACGCACATACGGCTAGATAGCCACGGCACATCAAAAGCTGCCACGTCGTGCCCTCAGGATGGAACTTTTCTGGTCTACACAGTGCCAGATGCGGCTGGTGCACTGGGCTCTCGGTGTGGCCGCCTTAGGGCGTAACTTGCTGCGACGCTGCAGTTCGACCAGTCCGGGCCCCATGGATGTGCAAATGACATGATGGCCGCTGCCCCGGCTCAAGCAAGCCCACGTTTCAGTCATGCGCTTGAAACCCTTCACTGGGTCACAAGGGCCCCGTGCTCCCTCTGTCAGTGATGTGACAGCGCTTGGCATGCCATCAGCCCCATCCGAGCGGGAAAGCTTCTGGAGTCAGTCAGCTGCAGCAAGTGAAGTGCATCAGCAGCTTCTCAGACGAGACCGAGCCAGGTCGGCCCTGACCGCGCGTGCAAAAGCAGCAACAGTCCAAAAGGCTTTGCAAGACCTCGAGACGCTCTTCGCGGCAATGGGCCGGCAGTATGATGATCTCGAAGATGGGGCTCAACACGATGCCAGGACCGGGCTCATGAAAACTCAGTAGGTGGCAACAGGCTGTTGACTGTCTGTCACGCTTGACTTGACAGGCTTGCCGCGCTCTAGCAGCGAACTGCTAGCTGCTTAGCTGCGTAGCTGCTTTGCGGAGATTTGCCGAGGACTGGTTCTCGACGTATGGACCGTATGGACAGGGAAGGGACACATGGACAGGCTATGCAGTCCATGCAGTGGCGGCTGTCGGAGCAACAGGCCACGTCGCGGCAGCTTCGGACAGAGCTTGCTGAGTCGCTCTATCAGGAACAGGCAGCGCAAGAAGCTGGTCTTCGGTTGCTGACAGATGCGCAGGTTCACGAGCTGGAGCTTCGCGAGCTGCGGCTACAACTTGCAGCCAGCGAACATCGCAACTCGCAGCTTTCTCGCTCGCTGCCACGTTGAGGAAAAATGTCGTGATTGCATAATTCGCATAAAGTTCTCTATCGCTGTATCGGACAAGGTTCCAGTCCAGCTTCATCTGGGCCATCCGGGTCGCAGGCGCCTTGAAAATGCGCTTCCTGGGATTCCTGTTGTGTCAACGTTTTTTAAAGCCGCCAGGACCAGCAAGGCCTCCCTGCGGAGACGGTGCGACCTGACATGTCGCTCAGCAGAGGAGGTCAGACACGCATTGCCCTGAGGTCCAGCCTGTCATTCCCGTCGAATCGATCTCCGAAGAAGCTGGTTCCGATCATGTCCTCAGCCATTGGGTGCAGAAGGTGGCGTTTGCTTTCTCAACCGGCCAGTGGATGATCTGACAATATCTGGCACTTTGCTGTGGAGGTGTGTGAATTCGGGATGAGTGGTCGCTCGCGGACTTAATCGAAGAGTCGATGTATTTATTTGTCCGGCAGCCTGAAGCCGGCCTAAAAACCGAGGCTGTCACAGCCTTACTGCTTTGTTTCACTTCGGGTACACAGCATGGAAGCAGTGCGAGCCCCAGTGTTCGAATGCAAGCTTGCCGATGACTACGAACCACGGCATTGGCAGCATTGCAAGGTTAATGCACGCTTCGCTGCAAAGTGGCCACTGGGGTTCAGACCTCAAAGCCCTGGCCAGATGCATTGCCACAGGTTGGAACCGTTTGGTACCATATTGCCACCGTCCATATTAATACTAACGCGGCTCGCCTCGGTAGGCCTGCGCGTCGCCTGGACATAGGACGCATCGTCTGCGCTATTGGCCTCTAGCTGGGTTCATGTGCTCTCGTAAGCGCCTAAGCCTCAAGTGATCTGGCTAGAACTTGCCCGGGGCAGCTCGTTCTCGCTGTAGCTTGAATATATAGCCGTTCCGGAATGTGCTGGCGTGAAGGACAGGCATCGCGACCGCTTAAGGGGTGTCCAGGTCCGTAGGCAGACCAATGATGGGATCCATAGGAGCTCTTAATTGGGGAAGGCAGGAAGGCCACGGAAGGGGCCCGTAGCAGCTGTGGAGGTCCATGACAAAGGGGTCCACAATGAAGTTCACAGGCTCTACACCCAGACCTACACCCAGACATACTCAGGCACACTCAGACACTCAGACTCAGACGCTTGCACGTGACACTCTTCCAAACACGCCTACGGGTCTGTATGTAGGTGACATGCCGTTGTCCAGGTGCCTGTTTTGAAGGTCTGTCTGAGTGTCTGCCATGGGGCTACTCAGCAGGCCTTCGCGTTACGTAGTTTCTGCTTTCAATGCTAGCTTATACGCCTTGATACATTCTTATCCGGAGTTTCGTTCATCCTTAGCAATGCACTGTCCACTTAATTTTTTTTGGGACAAGCTGAGCATCTGATTGTCTGTTTTTAGTTTGTGATCGTTGCGTTCCGTTCGCACACACACAGACACACTTTTGGAAACGCCAGCCTTTATGAGTTTTTTCACGCGACCCTTTCCAATAAGGGCCAAGTGCTATCCTGGTGTGGTAATCCTTTACGCCGCAGCATATCACCAAGGTATGGAAGCAGTTGAAGACATATCCCCAGGCCACATTGCAGAGGAGCGGTCTCAGTCGCATTGCTGGCTGTAGATGATCAGATATGCTGCTATGCGCCAGGAGGAGGAGAAGCAAAGCCAGGTCTCCAAATTGCTTCTGGCCAGTGCAGTATTGAGGCGAATGATACTTTGTGGCCAGGTTCTCTTCAAGGAAGAGCCGCCTGGAGCTGAACTTTTGTGTGACTGTTTTGTATCTCTCCGCAAAACTAGGACCTGTATGGAGGCGGTGCACACTGGGACTGAATGCTTTTATGAGGAGATCGTACGAGCATTCCCACAAGACCCGTTTGGAGGTGACTCCACCCCATCATTTCATGGACACGCCCCGCTTCCTCAAACAAAGTCCATGTGTGTATCGCATGTCCGTCCAGGCCCAGGGCAGCAAATGAGCAGCATGCAATACAGCACTCAACAAGACAGCAATCGGGCCGAAGCGGCATCAATAAGTAAACCGGGGAAGGTCTGGACGGAATATGGGCTCGGGAAGAATCATGCGGCCCAATTGTGTCAGAAGGCGGGTTCAAAGGCTGAGGCTGCACCCCTTCACCTTCACTGGTTGCAGTCACGTCGAGGAGATCACTCGAATGGGGGTGTTGGACACCAAGCCTGGACTCAACAAGCTCTGCTCTTTCGAACACAAGAGCACCTCAACAGCACATGCAGCAAAGGATAGCAAAGGCCAGGGCAGCCAGCCGCAGTCTTTCGGCCCAGAAGCAGTAGATGGCACTTAGTTCAGCCAACTCGTGCGGCGGAGCTAGTCATGGAAGGTGCAAGCCGAAGTTCTGCTAGCAACTAGCGACTGCCAGCCGTTGGCGTGAATTTGGTGAGGGTCCGAGGCACATTAAACGTGCTGTGGTGGCTTTAGCAGAAGGCGGAGGGATTCTTGCGTGTGTGCAGGTTCATGTACTTTGCCAGCTGCGCTCAGTGATGGCACGGCCGATTCGGAGCCTCGCCCTATTTCCTGAATACCTGAAATTCTTGAGCATGCAGCAACGTGAAAAGCTTGTTGAGGGGCTTACAGCCGGGCTGTGGCTGGAGCTCAGGATCCCACAAACACCTTGCTCACCAAGCTGCACGAGCTTCGCAAGACCCCGCAGAAGCCCTCGCATACCATGACGGAGAACATCAAGAAGAAGGCACATGTTGTGACTTGTTCGTAGCTTGAGTTTTGTGAATGTTTTGAACATACTGGCTAGTTCAATCCTGAAACAAGAAACGAACGAACAGATTCCAGTAGAGCCAGGTCGAAAGCCAGCTGGCGGCAACGCCATCGAGTCCGTTATCTACAGCAACCCGCGACTCGGGAGTGAACTCCCACGAGTCCACTCATTGTTCCTCGGTCAGGTCAGAGTTGAACCAAGTTGAGATGTATCGTCGGAGAGATTCAAAGTCACAAGTCCAGGCTTGACGCCGCGCGATGGTTCTCAAGACGAGTCCTGCTCGCCAGTGTTCGAGGCCTTCTTCGAGCACCCGTAAAGATGTGCGTTTGTGGGTTATCCAGATGCAGCTGTCGCCAGGGTGACAAGAAGGGTTGGCTGACCGACAAAGTCTTGTGCTGAGACGTGTGGCCATATTGTAGCGATCACTGAGAATGGGCAGTGATGGGCAGCTGTTATAATGTAAGGTAGTGTGTCTTTCTGCGGTTTTGGTGATGTCAAGGAGATTGGTGCAGCAGCCTGGCCTGGCAAGGATTCGAGAGATGTGCAGAGATGTGCAGAGATGTGCAGAGATGTGCAGAGATGTGCAGAGATGTGCAGAGATGTGCAGAGATGTGCAGAGATGTGCAGTACAGACACTTTATTACCAGGGAACTTGATGCGCAGGAGCGGGAACTCCAGCCTTGGGCTGCGCCCGGTGATGATGACACCTTGGAGGAGCCCGAAGATGAGCCATGCCTGCAACTGCCTGCAACTGCCTGCAACAGCTACGAACTTTGCGAACCAAAGTTTCGATGTTGAGTGTTGCCAGGAGCTTTCGGCGCCAGGCCACCACAGCGAGAGCCCCTCGCCATTATCAGCCTCGTCATCATGTCTGGTACGGCTGCTATTGTACACGGGTCCCTTTTTAAGGTCACTGGGACCAATTCCGAGCAAATGCAGAACTCTTTGGATATGTCTCCACCTTCAAGGCTAGGCTTCGCGGCTTCATGCTCAGTCCCTGTTTGCACTTTCAGTGGCTTGAAGTTCAAAATGAAACTTTGCCCCTGTGTTCAGGAAGATCTATCCCAGTATTCAACGATCATCGATGTCGCCAAAGTGCCAGCCCACGCACGGAAGAAGGCTGAACGTCTAGCCAGAGAGATCGAAGTCCGTCACAGTATTCGAGGCAGGAGTTGAACACTTCAGAGGTTTCCTAGGCCCAGATGCCCCGTAGATTCCCCGCAACTGTTCCGAATGAATCCTGACAGCAGGTAGCGCTGATGAAGAAGCCACAGGACGAGATGAAGAGAGTTTGTTTTCGTCCGTTTCGCAAGGCTGTGCCGGTGTGAATGGTGTGAGGGACGATGCTTCTATGGATTCAAAGGGCCGAGGGCAACGAGCTGATGGTCCCGGCAACTCTCAAGAGGAGCATGACCATCCCCCATCTGACGTGGTGCAGAATGTGAAGATGCCAGATGTGCAAGATGCGCAGATGAAGGTGACAGGCTCGTTTTTCCATGTGGACGGGGTTGGGCTGCTTGATGAGAACCTGGTCCGTTCCAACCCATGGGTGCTGGACCAAAATTCTGCAAGATGCATGCCGGGATGCATGCCAAATATGCCTAATATGCCTATGACTTCTGCACCAGGTTTTCTGAGCACCCAACCGAGAAATGCGGCAAATGCAGCAACTTCAGTGGATTCCTGTTTGTCTCCATCTCCCGTGCTCAGCACTGCGCCGGTGTGTGCGCCGAACGTGTCCATGGCCAGGGTCCCGCAGGTCTGGCCTGCAGGCACTACCGTCATTATTGATGGGTTGATGACATGTCCGACCTTTAATGGTTTGAATGGCCTTATCGACTCCTACGATGCGGAGACCAACCGCTACAACGTGCAGTTGCCCTTGACGGACAGCTCATTGTTTTGTTGACAAGTGCTCACAGTTAATACTACTATATAATATGGACAATGTGCTTGTAGCGCCGGCATGGGCCCCGCACGAGCCCTGCATGTGGCAAATGTTGTTGAGGATAGCTTCGGTGTCTTCCAGATTGCCAAGATCAGGCCTGAGAACCTGAAGTTCTATCCAAGTCCACGGTGCCAGTGAAATACTTGGGCACTCCGTGGAGTTTCAGTTGATGCGATGCATTTTCCGCTAATTGGTCCAAAGGACCTGCTCTACTTGACAATGTGCCGCTGTTGTACATTGTACATGTTGTACGTTCTGCTGCTTCGAGAAAATCAGTAGAACTTCGGCTCGAGGGTCGTCCTGCTGGCATAATCTTGACCATGACGGCCGGCTCATCCAGCGTTCCACGCCGATCGAGTGGCAAAGAGAAGTTGGGTGGTGCATGCTGAAACCCAGCACATTTCAACTGGGTCGCTAGCCGTGTAAGAAACATGTTTCATAGTGTAGCCGAGGAACGATAAGAACGGAGCTCGGATGCATATCCCCAGATATCCCCAGTCTGGACAGATTCGTCAGCAAACAAACTTCTCTTGCATACACGAGGTAAACCTTGCATGCTGCCTGTTTTATTCCGGCAGTCAAATGACACTGCCGTGCTGGCACAGCCTGATGACAAGGTCTAGCAGCATAGCAAAGTTCCTCCCGCATGGTCTAGTACCAGTGTTCTGGAGCAGTGTCCCAGGCTGTGCAGTCCTTGAATCTCGATACCTTGCTGTATCTGTATATACCAAAAAGCACTGTACCATGTTTTGTGCCGTGATTGATTCACAGCACGAGCTGCCATTGCCATTGAATACGATGCCTGGCAGAGTCGCCAACAAAGTCGCATTGGCAGCATCCCATGATCAGATAAGGGACGTGCTGCTGGAGTACTTCCAGCCGAGCAGGATGTGTATTGCCGGGCAGCTTTCTTCCGATCATTCTGCTGGCACTCTTGCCGAGGCCTATTGAGTCTCATGTCGCGCAGTGCTGGGATCTTTGTTGTCAAGATGAAAACGACTCGCCTTGATTCATGGACATGAGTGCCCGACGCTCAAGGTTCAGCCAGTTCAAGCTGCAACGAGTCTGTTCTCGCAGTGGAAGACGCAGAGCTCCAACCCCAGACTGTGTGGGAGGTAAGCTGATTTTTCCTTGTCATACGTGTGGGCAGGAGAAGCCCCGAACATTTGCTGACATGTGCTCGGCTTGCAGCAGACAGCGAACGACTGCGTCAGGCCATTTGAGTGCTAGGGGTGGACTGAGCTTTTGATTCGTGTTTGAAATACTCAAGTTCGCAGTATCCGCTCTGATCGTCGCTTAGGCCTTGGAGTTTTGCACCGAGGGCCTGGACTTGTTGTGGGCAGAGCATCGCACTCGGGCGAGGGCTTGGGGAGAGCCTTGGGGAGAGCCTGGGGAGATCTGTGGAGCTATGGAGCTCGAGAGGTTCCCTCTGAGAGAAGCACCGTCTTTCTGCCTTTCCTTTTGACATTCCCCACGAAGCCTCAGTCCGGTCTCAATGGAAGGCATTGATTGATTCATGATGGGATTCCCTACAAAAAAAAAGGTTGTTCCTGACTGAAAACAGCCCCTCATCCCTACTGAGCCCGAAACTCTGAGCCCTAACCCCATGCCCTTCGCGAGTTGCGGGTTTGGCTCGACTCAGGGCCTGGAAGTGGTTTGCTTACTTGAACGGGGCCTGACCATGGGCCCCCAAAACGACTACCAAAAACATGCCTTCACTCCCACACCGATTGTGCTGAAAATCAGCCCCAAAATTGGATGGTATTTGTTTCCGCCCCCGCCCCTCCCCCCCCCCCCACCCCCACAAAGCGTTTTGGGGCAATGCTGTCTCGGATGTCTCGCGGCGCCACGTTTTTCTCGCAATCGGTGCTGAAGACAGAATGAGCAGGCTGCACCTGCTTAGCAATGGGGGATGATGGGGGCGAGGCGCAAGACATGTGGCTTGGATGCTGTCGCGACTGCCGTGCCAGTTCACTCCACCCTCAATTCTTTTCATGCAGGGAGCTGGGACCCTTAAGGTTGTGCTCCATGGTTTCTCCCCGAGTCATGCTTTGCAGAACAGTGTGCTGCAAGCCTAATTTGTGCAAAGGCTATGCCTGTGCCCTGCGCCGGGCACTTGTTTAACTCCCAATACGTCTGGATAAGTTCGACTTTCACAGGATCTTCTCTTTACTTAACTCTTTGCCAAGGGCGGCAGAGCCCTGCAGTGTTTGGCCAAGACTTTGCTCAGCGGGACCTGCTCTGTACAGGGCCTGAGCTGACGAAAACCGAGGCAATGCCGCTTCGAGCCGAGCAAGTAGCTCATCTTTGGCACCTGCAGCTGCCCCACGACCTCCTACGACTCAAGGAAGCCTTGACCTTGCATCCCCTGTCCGCTTCTAGGTGCCAGCAGCAATTTGGCGACCAGTACGTCTCCTAGCAGAGTAGTGGCCGCGTCCACGTGCCGGTAACCAGCCATGTTGTCCCGCCTTTCAGGGCGGCAGCGACAAAGTTTTCGTGCCGGATGAAACATTGAACACGCTGTATCGTCCTGAGCTTGCAACGAAGTTATGCATATTATAATATTGGTGCAAGTTGCAAGAGAGCCAGCTATTTCCAGGTGTGGGCTGCTATGTTTAAGGGCTAGTGTGCCTCACTCAGTGAAGTCTTGGATCCCAGTGGCATCTTGTGTCGTGAGGCTTGCGGGGTGCTCGAGCCATGCGACAGGCCCATGCGCAGCTACAGCAGTACGTGGAAGCCCTGAATGATGCCGCAATCCCAGCTGCTCTTTGCGCCAGCAGCGGAAAAGCAGCACATTTATGGACTCTGGACTGGGCCGCGGAAAATGACACCTCAGAATCCATGGTTTGCTATGGGAAACCATGAGAAAACTTCAGGAATTCAGGAAGAAACTCTAGGAAACCCTGCGCAAACCCATAGAAAATCCTTGAAACCTCGGAAACTCTTGGGCACCGCAAGGAAACAAAGCGGAAACTCTCGGTCTTGTACAGATGCACTATTTGGAAGGAAAACGACAAAGGCAAGGTACTGGGAACAGGGAAGGATCGGACGCCGCCTCCAGTATTACAGTACCGCAGTTTGCAAAGGGTGAGTGACCAGCAGATATACTGTCAAACTTCGCTACTCCCTGCAGGCTTTGCCAAGCGCAGACAAACACCTTGGAATTTAAAAGGCTGCAAAGCATCACTTCTGAGCACCACACACAGTGCAGACTTCCCACATAAACATGGCCTTCAGCTACAAACTTCTTCACAAGTGTCCTTGCTGGTCACTGGTCACTGGTCCACCGAAAGAGAAATCATCGCGCAACCCTTGGCCTTAGGCAGATGAGCTAACCGGTGTTCAGCCAACGTCTGCTGATGGTGGCCGAGTTGCACCAAGTCATCTCTGTGTTCCTTGTCAAGAGTGGCTTCACGAACACGTGTGAATCGCAAGCATGCAGGCTATTATTGGCAGCAGGGCTCTCGGCAGAATTGAGCTACCTTCGATTGCGTCCCGTGGGCTTGGAGATGATAGTTTAAATGGGCGAATCCAGGTCCGTAGCTCTCCAAGGCCGACACTGGCTGAGCAGGATTGCCAAATTCATGCCACAAGCTCTTGTTCCTGCAGGTATGGGACGTGAGCAAGAGGCCCTGGAAGCCTTAATGTCGGTGTCGGCCTCAACAAGCTGAAAGCGAACTAGCACAACAAAGAATCAACATTAGACCCCTATGCCATATCAATCCTTATTCTCATATGACTACAAGCCTTTCAATGCATCCCTCAATACCTCCTCGGAGCAATCTATGTTCTTGAGAACCTGCATGCGTGTTCAGTTTCAATACACGGGACCCTCCTCTGGAATTGGATTAGGGTTCAGGAGTTTTTTAGGGTTTAAGGTTTTGGGGCCTGTAGGGTTTTTGGTTTTGTAGGGTTTAAGGGTTTTTAGGGGCATTTTAGGGTTTAGGGTCTTTAGAGGGTTTAGGGCTAGGGTTTAAGGGGGGTTTAGTTTTTTTGGGTTTAGGGCTCAGAGGTTTGTAGGGGTTAGGCCTTTGGGGTTTTCAGGGTTTAGGGTTTCGGGGTTTTTGGGCCTTTTAAGGTTCATGGTTTTTAGGGGTAAGGGGTTTTCAGGGTTTAGGGCTTGGGCTTTTTTTCGGGTTAGGTTTCTTTGGGTTTAAACTTTCGGGGATTTTAGGGTTTAGGGTTTTTGGAGGCTCAGGGGTTTTCAGGGATTGCATTGTTGGCTCAGGGTTTTTCAGGGTTTAGGGTTTTTTAGGGTTTAAGGTTTTTTTTGGGTTTAGGTTTTTTGGGTTTAGAGTTTAGGTGATTTTAGGGTTTGGGGCTCAGGGCTTTCTAGGGTTCAGGGTTGAGGGTTTTTAGGGTTCAGGGTTGACGGTGGTGTTTTCAGGGTTTCGTTTTCAGGTTTGAGGGTTTAGGGTTGTGTTAGGGTTTAGGGTTTAGGCTTTAGGGTTTCTTGAGGGTTTAGGGTTTCGGGTTTTTTAGGGTTTAGGGTTTCTTAGGGTTCAGTGGCTTTTTGGAGCCCAGGCCTTAGGGATTTTAGAGTTTAGGTTTACGGTTTAGTGGTTTTTCAGGGTTTAGGGTGTGGGTTTTTTTAGGGGTTACGGCTTAGGGGTTTTAGGGTTTAGGTTTCGGGGTTCAAGGGTCAGGAGTTTTTAGAGTTGAGGGCTTAGGGCTTTTTAGACGGTTTTAGGGTTTAGGGCTTAGGGTTTCTTAGGGCTTAGGGGTTTTCAGGGTTAAGGGCTTAGGGTATTGTGAGGGTTGAGGATGTAGGGGTTAGGAAGTTTTTCGGGTTTATGGCTTAGGGGTTTACAGGGTTTTTTTGGTAGGGACCTGTCTGAAAGGGATCGGGGTCTATCGCGGCTGAAATAGCGGGGAGAACACACGCATGCTGGGTTAAAAAATGAAAAGCGGGGGGATTGGCGGCCCCCCCCCCCCTCCCCATTTGCAAACACAATGCTCACATGATGGGTTTGAAAAACAAAACTTCTGAAGCAAGCTTGCACGGTTATCAAGCGGGGGGGGGGGTTGGGGCAGCCCCCCCCTCCCATTTGCAAACGCAACGCTCGCAGGGTTTTGGGTTTTTAGGGTTTGGGGTTGACGGTGTTTTTCGGGTTTGGGGTGTAGGGCTTATGTTTAGGTGCTTTTGGTTTTTTCGGTTTCGGGTTTTCTGGGTGAGAGTTGAGGGCTGAGGGTTTTGTTAGGGTTTAGGCTTTGGGGTTTTTAGATTAAGGGCTTCAGGGTTCAGTGGTTTTTTGGAGTTTAGGCCTTCGGGATTTTTAGGGTTTAGGAGTTAGGGGTCTTTAAAGTTTATTTAAGGTTTAGGGTTTTTTGGGGTTTAAGGTTTAGCGTTTTTCAGGGTTCAGGGTTAAGGGTTTTTTTAAGGGTTTAGGGTTTGGGTGGTTAGGGTTTACGGTTTGGGGGGTTTTAGGGTTTAATTCTTTTGGGGTTTATGCAAGTGGTCCTGCGGACGATCCATGCGAGAGGCACGCAAAGATCTCTAACGGAGACTTAGGACAAATGAATTATGAATTCGCTCGTCGTTTGGCGCGTTGGGATCGTATGTATCGGTTCCATACTTCAGTGGGATGGACAGTCGGGACATCACATGAAATCTCCTGTTTGACAGGAGCGAAGGGGCTTTTTATAATATAGCTTGAGCAAAAGACCCTTTATCAAAGATAGCAGAAACTTGATGCCTGATTGGGTTTAAGGGTCAGGAGTTTTTAGGGTTGAGGGCTTAGGGGTTTCAGATGGTTTAAGGGTTTAGGCTTTAGGGGGGTGAGGGTGCTTAAAAAGGGGGGTTAGGGTTTAGGGGTTTTCAGTAGGGCTGAGGGGTTTTTTTAGGGCTTAGGATATAGGGGTTAGGAGGTGTTTAGGGTTTGCGGGTTTTTTCGGTTTAGGGCTCGGGGTGTTTCGGGTGTTTAGGGTATAGGGTTTCTTTCGGGTTAGGATAGGGCTTAGGGTTTATCGGTTTTTAGGGTGTAGGGCTTAGGGGTTTTTTGGGCTTTTCAGATCTTTAGGTTTCAGGTTTAGGGGTTTTTAGGGTTTAGGGTTTAGGGCTTTTTTTTGGGTTTAGGGCCTTAGGGGTTTTTTAGGCGTAGGGACCTGTCTGAAAGGGATCCGGGTCTATCGCGGCCGAAACAGGAACACACGCATCCTGGGTTGAAAAATAAACAGCGGGGGGTGGGGGGTGGTTGGCGGGAGTGCAGCCCCCCCCCCCATTTGGGAGCACAATGCTCGCATGATAAGTTTGTTTGAAAAACAACAAAAATTCTGAAGCAAGCTTGTTGCGCGTCTTAACAAGGGGGGGGGGGGTTCGGGGCAGCCCCCTCCCATTTGCAAGCACAACCCTCGCATGATGTGTTCGAAAAAGACTTAAAGCTTACTTAAATAACATCTTCACATCTAAGGTTCTTGGTCAGGAACCATGTAGGGACCTATCTGAAAACGATAGGGGTCTATCGCCCGCATGCTCGTTCTCGACGTTTGATATCTCCGTTCACATCTCTAAACAATCCACATGTCGGGTCTTCTATTACAGCTTCAAAAATGCATCTCTTAACGTTTCGTTGTAGAGGTTAACCTTGCTGTGCATAGAGTGGGTTTCTGACTCAATCTCTGGTTTTCTGACTCGTGTGTGCTCGGTTTTCTGACTCACGCCTTTCCGCTTTCTAACTCGGTCCACCCGGTTTTCTGACTTGGTCCTGCGCGTTTTCGACTCGTTTTCCCCACTCGGCGGTCACCCCAGCAGAGTGTCAGTCATTTGTTTAGCTCCTGTTGGCCGACTGCTGGTTACCGCAACCGAAGATATTCTTTTTGAGTCCCACCCGCCCCCTGATAACGGGGTAGCCGCTGCGGCCATTTCTGCGCCCATATGCGCTTGATGTTATGCGTGGAGCGGGGCCTAGTCTAGCCTGGGGGTCGAGTGATCAACAGGCAGGCTGGGCCCTGCCAACCTTCGAAGCGATTGCTGCCAAAAGTGTCCGCGTGCAGTATATAAGTGAGGAAAAACTCATCCAGATTCATCCTGTATCCACACACAAAACACCTCCCGTCAGATTCGGACATGTTCGGACCATCCTGTGGCTTCCTGGTGTGCGCGCCAGTCGCGATGCACTGAGGCTCTTGGTTCGGTATCCTCTAGGGGAAAACCATTCCGCAGTACGTCTCGACATCCACTTCAACCCGGCATGTCTTGACAATGCTGTCATACTTCACATCTTCAGCAAGCCTGGCATAGAGCTCCTGCATTTAGCTCACGTAACAATGCTTCGCATATACCATTGCAGTTCAATCATCACAAGAACCTTTTTTTCCCGCTGAGCCCGACAAATGCGCATGTTTGCTTTAGCTTGGTTGCATTCATCGTGAACCACTTGAAGGTGTTGGGGCTTTCGGGAACGGAGCACGAAAATGCAGCTGCAGCACTCATGTGTTTGGGGATGAAGCAGTCGAACCAGGTCCATTTGCAAAGCATTTGGCGAAGGGGGGAAGGTGTGGGGAAACAGCAATTCATTGAAACCGCGGTGCCCTCTCCAAGCAGACCCAGCCGATAGCGCATATCTGAAATCATGCCAACAGGCCCAGTTAGCCCCACGGTCAGAACCATCATGTGCTACAGGGCCTGCCGCAAAATAGCCGCTGCATTCCGTTCCTCTTTTATGATCCTGAGGTATGTTCTGAGGTTCACATTTGCGACTTCTTTGGCAAAATTGAGGGAAGTTTGATTCCGGCCTCAGGCGCTTGAGTACGAACCGCAAAATGCCTTCTACCAGCAGGCGCGGGCCCTGCAAAGTGTTTTTGTGGATGCTTCTGTTGCAGAATTTGCCAGCATTGCAAATCTAAAACAAGCCACCGCTTATAGCCTCCATAGAACGCGGAGGCGCCCCTCGGATGGATTACAAACCCATCCCCGAGTGGACTCCCCTGTTGCAAATTAAAACCTTTGTATTGGGGGTTGCGTTTATTTGGACCATGACCACAAACTTGAGGATGGTCAATCAATCTCGAGGTTTGAATTCCATAGGGTTCAAGACATTTTATGCTTCAAGGCAAGAGCCAGGATAATGCTGCCAAGGAAATTGACAATGCCAAGCCTGCCGTTGCAGTGGACTACTGTTTCTGCTCGCGTCGATGTGAGATCCAAGTTTGTGTTGCAGTTGCTCACTGCGCTTTTTGAAGATATCTCAGACCGCCCCGCACTCAAAACAGCCATCCGGCAGCTGCTGGTCGATGTCAGCCAGGACATACTCGTAGAGCGACGGATGCAATGTCAGGTGATACTGTGAAGCCACATCCCGGCCGGCGAGAATCTGCAAGAGCTTCCCGGATCCATTTGTCGTTTAAGGGATGCTGCAGGTGTGACAAAGCCGTGGCTACTTCTCTGCAGCTTTCGTGCGCAGGCGGAGGAGCCTGGCACAGAGGCGAAATGCGTTTGACATTTGTTTCGGTAGCTTGTGCACAGACAGCACCGAGTGAGCCCCGCCGTTCGGTTCTGCTTCGGTCTTGGCTCAACTGTTCCTGATCCTGGCATGCCGTCGACTCACCGACTGGCATGTCTTGCAATCAGGTGGGCACTGGCAGGGCCAGTCGCTCAGCACAAGTGCGAACTTCATTGGCATTCAGCATCATTCGGCCATATTCGGCCGGTGTTGCATCTGCTGATTGCTCATGCACGGGGTTGTTGCGCTTCCTGTGCAGTCTCGGAGCTTGGGCTTCGAGCTGATCCTGGCACTGTTTCAACCGAAATTCAACCATTCCTTTCAGTTTGTCAATGCGCCTCAGCCACGCGACCTAAGCGCCCACCTGTGGGACGTGACAGAAGTTTCAACGTCGTACTGCCAGCCCCGCTTGCTGCTAACCAACTACGCAGACAACCAACCGTTGTGCCGGAGCAGAAGTCTAAGCTTGAGCTGCAGCAAAGGGTCGGGCACTGAGGTCGTTCCTCGGGCAAGAGGGTGCCTGCCCTAAAAGAGCCAGAGCAGCTAGGAAGAGGAAAAGGGCAAATGTGTTTTGGCTCTGTTCGTCCTCAGGACTGGCCGGGATGCTCTCAGCACCACCACGCAGGTGTCCAGCATTTGACATCATTTGCAGCTTGCAGTTGCAGTTTTTCATGATTCAAGGTGATGAAATCAACCAGAGATTAGTTCAGCAAGCGTCAGCATCCTTCATCACCCGAATCTTGTCTGGCACGTGTCTGTTTTGCTATTAATGTGTTTAGCGGCCTACGCTCTGCATCTTCTGTTCCTGATCAGTTTCGGAATTTCGGCGTTTTCACACAATCAAGACTTGGGGGCTCGGTTGGGAGTGGCGCGGCCCCGCATCTGGCAACCGAGATCTAGCGGTTTATGGTCGTTACATCACGAAAGCTAGCCCGTGGGACCTGGCCGAGTTTCTTACCAAACGTAAGGTTGAACAACAGGGGTATGGGGATAGAAGAAAGATGGGGTGCGTGCAAATTGGGGCTAAACCCCACCGGGATTCGGTGGCCAAGCTCACCTTCTTGATTGTCAGCCCGAAAATTGATGCCTGGCCTTCTGCGCACTTGGGCTAAGCGCCACTCTGGCTCAGGGTCAAAATCTTCTCTGTAGTATTTCTTCAAGACAGCGTCTCCAAGCGCAGCGTCGAAACCATGCACAGGTGAGCTAAGAAGGGACTTTCCTGAGAACTAGAGTTGGGCATCGAGAAGTAGATTAGGGTGGGTTAGGGTGTGTTAGAGTGTGTTAGGGTGTGTTAGGGTGTGTTAGGGTGTGTTAGGGTGTGTTAGGGTGTGTTAGGGTGTGTTAGGTTGTGTTAGGGTGTGTTAGGGTGTGTTAGGGTTAAACAAATTTGTTCCAGGAAACTAAGGCGCAGGGTTAGAAACTTCACAACTGCTGGCGCACCCTCCAGAGTTTTGAAGCGATCTTCTTTGTCGAGGGTTGCCGGCGCCTGCCCTAAGCCCTAAGCCCTAAACCCTAGAACCCCGTTCAGGCTTTATGTGAAGTGTCAGGCCTAGCGGCACGGGCCGGACCCGCCCCCTAAAATACGAACACGAAACCTCGAACCTTGCACTGTCTTCTCTTTCCCTTTTTCTTTGTCTTTTGTCTTTCTCGCTCTCCGTCTCTCCCTCGCTTTCTCTCTCTCCCTCTTCTTCTTTCTCTGTTTCCTCTTCTCTTGACATGTTTGTTTTTCTCTTTCTCGTTCGACTCTTTTGCTTTCTGTTTCTCTTTATCCTCTTATTTCTCGTGCTTCCTTCTTGTTATTGTCTTTTTCTCTTTATATTTTCGTTTCTCTTTCTCCTTATCTTTCTCTTCATCTTACTCTTTCTCTTTCTTTCTCCTCATCTTCCTTTTGCTCTTTCTCTTTCTCCTTCTCCTTCTCTTTCTCTTGCTCTTTCTCTTTCTCTCTTTCTCTCTTTCTCTTTCTCTCTTTCTCTTTCTCTCTTTCTTTTTCTCTTGCTCTTTCTCTTTCTCTTTCTCTCTTTCTCTTTCTCTTTCTCATTCTCTTTCTCTTTTTCTCTTTCTCTTTCTCTCTCTCTCTCTCTTTCTCTTTCTCTTTCTCTTTCTCTTTCTTTTTCTCTTTCTCTTTCTCTTTCTCTTTCTCTTTCTCTTTCATTTCTCTTTCTCTTTCTCTTTCTCCTTTCTCTGTTTCTTCTCCTCTCTTTCTCTCTCCCTCACCCTCTCTCTCTCTCTGTTTTCTCCTCCCGTTCACCTTTTTCTTTCTCCTTTACCTCTCTCTTTTCTATTTTCGTTCTGTTGCTGTTGGTCTTCCTGTGTCTCTCTCTCTCTCTTTTCTTTGTTTATATATATATATATCTCTCTCCCTCTCTATCTTGTCACTTTCTCTTGCTCGTTCACCTTTCTCTTCTTCGTTCACCTTTGTCTCTTTGTCTCTTTTTTTCTTTTTCTCTTTTTCTCTGTTTCTCTTTTTCTCTTTTTCTCTTTTTCTCTTTTTCTCTTTTTCTCTTTTTCTCTTTTTCTCT